ACAGTCCAGCTCTTGTATCACTCCATTTCCCCCAGATGTGATGGACGATATAGAAGCTGTTCGGCAGAGGTCAGTCTATTGTATGTCGATACCAAGTGGACATGGAAGATATGAAGTGTTACAGTTTGGTATAAGTTATACTGTGGACCTTGGAGGGAAGACCTGTACTTGCAGACGATGGCATTTAACCGGATTACCATGCGAACACGCACTGTGTGTGCTCAATGCAAGAAGAGATGACCTTACAAGGTATCTTTATGAGTATTTTTTTGTTATGTTTCTTTATATATGATGTAATCATTTTTCTTGGTAAATGTCTTTCAGGTATACTTCTGGATACTTTTTGACGTCCAAATGGAAACAAACTTATGAGAAAAATATGTTGCAGTTAATGGAGAACCATTGTGGTGTAAGTTGGGAAGAGATCCTATCGGTGTACCTGAAAAGAGGCTGATGCCTGGGCGACCGAGGAAACATAACCGAAAAAAAGATCCTCACGAGTCTCCTACAAAGAAAGGTCATATGACTCGGCATGGTCGGATAATATGTAGTCGGTGTAAACAGTCTGGAATAATACAAGCACATGTATAAATGACCCGGTGCAGATTAATGTACCAAAACGGGGCCGAGGAAGACCAAAAAAATTAGAGGTATGTGTTACATAGAATTTTTGTAATGGATGTCAAATGCTGATAAATTTGTTTCTCTGTCTAAATAAGTTGGTGGACCATCAAGGCAACCTGGATCATAAAAAAGAACCAGAACAACGACAAATGTTTATGTCGATTCGGTTCAATCGAGTCAAAATTCAGTCCAAGCTGGTCCATCGAGTCAAGTTCATCCTCCGAGACCTGGACAGATTCATCATCCTAGACAAAGACAGAACCATCCCCCAACCCAAATGACTCAATCGAGCCAGAGTAATCATCCTCCTGCCCAGTCCAGCCAAAGTAATCCTCCTCCTGCCCAATCTAGCCAGAGTAATCCTCTGACTTCATGAAGTCTTCGTTATCGATCCACTCGACCCCTTGGAGTACCGCGTAACCGAAGTACATCTTCCATGATATTTGTTACTCCATATACCGGGAGAGTATTTCAGGTTCCAAGGCCGGCTCCTCCATCAAACTCGTGAAACGATTGAATTCGGAATCTGCGATGAGGACTTTATATTTTGATTAGGAATTCTGAATTGGCTTAGATTTTTTGTTTCGGAATTCTGTATCGGCTATGACTTTGTTTGTTTTTGTGACGTCAATCTGAACCTTAGTATATCTATGCATTTGGTTTATCTTCAGATTAATTAGTTCTGCATCTTAATGATTTCTATATTTTATCTTTGTAATTTATGATTCCAATAACAAAAAATAACACAAATCAACAACGAAACATTTTAAGAGATTCATTACATTAATACCAACAATAACATACAAACATTAGTCTTCATGACAAATCCAAACACATAAACGACCTTCACTCTTTTAATAAACCATAATAGTACAACCCAACCGAAATAAAAACCACCATTCCTATCACCATTTTTTGGCAAATTGCTTTGAATTCTTGAACCTGAGCTTCAATCTTCTTAAGTCTAACTTCGATCTTGTCAATTCGAACTTTCATTTTCTCATTTTGAACTTCTATCTTGTCATTCCGAACTTCTATCTTCTCATTTTGAACTTCGATCTTCTCATTCCAAACTTCAATCCTCTTTCAATGATTGCAGTTCTTCGATAATGGCTTCATCGACCCATTTCCACACGTGTGAATAATTTTCCTGAAACATATAATCGTAATTCATTTACCATTCTTACTGAAACGCATAAAAAATTGTGGAACTAACCTCTTGTGATTCGCAACGGAAGAATAATCTTCCTGGATTTTTGGAAGTTTTCGATATCAATTTTATAACCGGGCATCCACATTCACATTGTTGTGGTAATCCTTTTTGTTTGGATGATCTAGAACTGCAATACACTTGTGAATCTGTCGAACTCATGAATCTGAAAATCCTAAACCAGAAATATTAAACCTCAATCAACATAATCTAACTACAAACAAGAACTCAACATAAACTCAAATCTAAGAAAAATAAACCGTAACAATCAAATAACAACATGAATCTGAATCTAAGAAACATAAACCCTAACTTTTTGAAAATGGACTTCAACCAAATCCTAAACCATACACACTTACCTAGACGAACCGACGAGGTAGGATGGAAACTAGACCGGTGATGAAGAAAAGACGCCGACACGACTCAGAGAAGAAAGCAGATGACGAACAGAGAGAAGAGAAGGGGAGATGACGAAGGGAGATGAAAATATGAGAGGATAAATCGTGCCGAGGATGAAAAATAAACATTTTAAGGTTTTTAGATTTTTTTACCAAACCGGATTGGTTTTTTATCAAACCGCTTCGATTAATTAGACCGGTTACTCGGACATGGCTAAACACGTGGATGCTGAGTAGGATTTTAGAACGCTGAATCATCAATTTTTTTGCATGAACAGTGATACGTTAAATGCCGTCAACGATTCCTGTGTAATTTGGAAATTTTTTAAAAGTCTGGGTATTTATATGAAACTTTTGAAAAGTTCAGGTATTTATTTAGAAATTTTATAGTTCAGGTATTTATCTGGGAGTTTTATAAAAGTTCAGGTATTTATATGCGATTATCCCATAATAATTTGATTTGTTTGCATCTCGTTATACCATGTCAGTTCATTTGTTTATTTTGACAATCGTAGAAGAGTTAATTATTTTTTTTTGACAAATTTAAAAAATAATGTTTAATTGACAAAAATATCAAACATTTGTTTTTATCAAATAAATCTGAAAACTTTTTAATTGAGTTTAAAAAAATACTAAATTTTTTAAATGATGAAAAATACATAAAAGTTTTATATGATTGTCAAAAAATTACTAAACTTTTTAAATGATTTAAAAAAATACATGAACTATATATAATTGTAAAAAAAATTAAAATAATTTTATGTGTTTGCATCTCGTTATGTCATGTCAGTTCATTTATTTATTTTGACAATCGTAGAAGAGTTAAGTGTTTTTTTTTGGGCAAATTTTAAAATTTTAATGTTTGATTGACAAAATCAAAGTTTCGTAATTTTTTTAATCAAAATTAAAAGTTCGATATTGTTTTTTGGATTTCTCCCCAAAATTATCTGAAAATCGGATGTATGTATACCCGAGATATCCAATTTTAGGGTATTCGTCTTTGAATATTCGTGAATTTGAATAATAAATTTTTCTAAAATGGATATTCGATTAGTTTTCCTGTAAACAATTATAGTATTATACCATTAAATTTTATCTATGTTTCACAAATTAGCGATTCATCATCTATAGTTCATAATTTCATTTTTTTTTAAAAACTTTTTCTACATAAATATTGTTGATTTCTATTAAATAAATTTAGATCCAAATATCTGTAATTATATATTTCGGATATTGGTATCCCGAGTACCCGTAGTTTTCGAATTCGAATATAAATCTTAAGACGAAATAACAAATCTTTTAAATACAAATTCAAATAGGGAAAATCTCCAAAAAAATACTCAACTTTCAAATTTTGACAAAAAATACTAAATTTTTTATTTTATCAAATAAACATTAAACTTTTTAAGTTTGACAAAACAAATAGTTAACTCTTCTACGATTATCAAAATAAACAAAATAACTAACGTGTCACATGGAGGTGCGAACACGTCAGATTATTTTAATTAGTTGTTTTTGAAAATCGAAGAAAGTTAATGTATTGTTTTGGATCACTAAAAAAGTTTAGTGTTTTTTTATAATCGTTTAATATATTTTTTGGATCATTCAAAAAGTTCAATATTTTTTTAGATTTATTTAACAGGTTTAATATTTATTTGATAAAAAATAAAATTTAGTGTTTTTTTTGTCAAAATTTTGTTTTTTTTAAAAAAATTTCCTTTTAAATATTATAATTATCTCGGGTATTCGACCCGTTTTACCGGGTGTCCGACTCGGGCTTATAGTCACAAGAGCTTCAAACAGTCATTTGACCGCAGATAATAGCGCGTCTTGCAGCACATTGCGTTTGCGTCTGAAAACACTAATTCTGGATGATCTATATTTGGGATGGGTATCCAGTTTTTAGTTATGCAAAATCCAATTGATTTGAATGACATATTAATGATAATTAAAACGAAATCTGATATAAAAATTGTACTAGTGTTGAATGAATATTCTTTTTAAAAACTGAATCCATATTCCATATAAAAATAATTTAAAATTTATTTAGAAAATAAATTTTTATTAATAAAAATTAAATCAAAATCAAATCGAATCCAATATAAAGGTGAATAGATATAATTTTTCAAATCGACAAAACTGAATTCAAATTATAGAGTTTCAGTGTAAAGTTGTTTTGAATGAAATTGTATTTCTTTTGGGCAAATTCTAAGATTTTCTTGTTAAATTTACAGTGGAATGGTATTCGGGTAAAAATTTGTCACAAAAATCTTAAATTTCGTAGTTTTTAGTCTAAATTATTAAGAAAAGCACACAGTCAAACGCGGCGTTTTGGAGCCGCCATGTCACGAGATTCGCACGCTTCTCGCGTTCGCGTCTCGGCTTTTGAAAAAACCCAATGTCGCGCGTTTGCTTCAGGGCACATATATACATACATACGCATTCACAGAAGCAAGGGCAACGATTACTCTCTTCTTCTTGCT